GAACCGATACGCTGGTCCATTGAGCTGTCCAAAACAGCCGAACCAATGTGCTTTCACTCCTCTAGCACCTCCTGGTTGGTGGGACGGTATGTGGCAGTCGCCAATCCCACGGGACTCTCGGAAGCTTGCGGCTTATGGCGTTGAGCTTTCTGGTTTTGGTACGGTTAATGAAGACCGGCTTCGTGCCTTTTGTAACGGCAAGAAAGAGTACTTAAGCACTGTAACGATCGTTTAGTAACTTGTTGAAACTGTTTTTGGCCTCTTTGGTTTAATGTAGTAGTCACTGGTCTACATTTTTCCCTTACTCAATCGAACCGGCCAATTTACAAATAACCGAACCGGAAACCGAGATTTAATGAACCTTAAAAAGCCTTTTTGGTTTAATACAACCATTGATGTTATTCCTCAATCTGAAACGACCGGTTAACCAAACTAATTAAATCAAAATCTCGTTAATATACAGCTTACAGTATAAGATAAGCTTTTGATGGGTATGATTAGAAATAAAGTGGATTGGAGATGAGTTCTTAGTTGCTAAGAGAGGAATAAAGCAGTTGTCACGGAGTTAAAGATGGAACATTATCTCGTGAACTCAAACTTTCCCCAATATTCTATTTGATTCCCAATTTGTTTTAACTTTAATTTATTTCAACAATGCAAGTTGACGACATTTTTGTTAGCTAGTCTTCTCGTTCGTTGGTAATATGCTAAATGAAATTGCAAGGTAGGTGCTTAGCTGAGAGCTTAAAATAGACAAAAAAAAATGAAGTATGTATGTAATGTTACTCAAAAGTAATTATTGTAGAATATGCTTTTCAAACTAGCAGTTATTAGAACTATCCAAACCAAGAACCAAAGAGAACAATAGACTGAAGATAAAGACAAAAGTGAGTTGCAAGATTTTATCAGACTCCACAAGACTACATCAAACAGAGTCAAATTTCAAATGTGAACAAGTGTGAATTCTCGACTTACTCAAAGAGTGAGTTAATGAGATGAGCTCGTCGAAATTTATTTGAGAAAATAAAGAAGACTATTGGAGAGGTCAAAATAGTTTAAATGGGAATGGAAAAGGGTTATTATGAAAAACTTGTTTTGCAAACATGTTATCTTGGTCAGACTATTTTTAAATACTAATTATAAATAAAAGTTATTTATTTTAATGGAAATAAAACCTTATGTATACTCTCTCTTTTTGTGACAGACAACAATCTTATTCTTTCTTTTCGCATTTGGATTAAACATTCTACTTTTCCTCTGTTATTAGGTGTTCTACCTATGTTCTCCATAAAAACAAACAAGAACCAATACTATGGGAATTAACTAGAGTTATACTAGTTGTTAATTGATTTTGACCAAAAAAAAAAGAGAGTCGTTAATTGTTTAAATTGTATTCTAATACAAATTATTTTAACGGAACGAAAATATGGGGTCAAACTAAGAAATAAATGTTGGCTAAAAACATAAATCAAAGTTTTTAGTAAAAAAACATAGAATCAAGTTTTAGAAAAAAAAAACATTAGTATTATATTTTTGGCAGAAAAGCATTAATTGAATTTTTGGAACGATGTAAAATTATGTTTTGATGAAAATACAAAATCATGTTTTACTATAAAAAACGTAAAACAATAATTTCTTAGAATTTTTTTATAGAAAATGTAAAATTGTCTTATAAGAAAACGCGGAAGAATTTATATAGATTTTGTTTTTATAAATAATGAATCACTAGGAGTTTTACCCGCACATGCGGGCTTAATTATCTTTAAATCTATTTAAAAATCATCAAAATAAATGATATTTGCATCCAAAAAATTTAACCTAAAACATTTTTTTTTACAGGATAAATTTATTCACAAATTAAAAAAATATACTTCTTCCTTTTAAACTTTAAAAAAATCTAAAGTCTATTTCCTTTCTTCTTAATTAATAAAAATATAGAAATCTATCTTTCAATTTGAAAAATTGAATCGATAAATATACATTCAAAAATTGATTTTACAAAAAGAATTATATTAGTTTAGATAATAATACAATTAAAATTTATTTTTGCCAAACACGTTTTTTTTTGTTTTTGAATGATTTTTTATTTTATTATGATAAATTCATGTTTAAGGATTACTTATATATAAAATATATAAAAATAAATTTAATTTAACGTGTGAGCCCAGAGGCGAAAATAACTTCACAAATATATATATATCATTATATTATATTATTATATTCTTTTAATTTGAAAATAATTACGTATTATAATTTTTTAAAAATTTTCTTTTCAATTATATACAATTAAAGTTTTTACTTAATTAATATTTATTTATGTGTTTTATGTTTTTGAAATTTTTTTATTAAATATATTTTCCGGATAACAACACAATATATATAGGAATTCCAATTGAATCGATAAATATACATTCAAAAATTGATTTTACAAAAAGAATTATATTAGTTTAGATAATAATACAATTAAAATTTATTTTTGCCAAACACATTTTTTTTGTTT